TGGTAGAGCTATAAACATTACAAGTACATATGTTTTATTAATGGTAGACTTAGTAACCTATATGGTAGATTTGTTTGTAAATTGTTAGATTCAATATCAATGTGGTAGACTTAGTTATCGGGCAGTGCGATTTTACTTTTTTGCCCTGTATGTATTGTCTAAAGTACGGAACAAAACCAGAGTCCATCTTCAACCTCTAGGTTTCGCCGTCGAGCTGTTAAACTTGGGATAACTCTTGATTTTTTCCTTCTACTTCGATCTTCTGCCTCTTATCCACTTTTATATTCATGGATCAAGTTGTTTTGGTTTGTGGTAACTGGGTTTTAAAGAACACGAGGTGGGTCTTCATCGTAGATCAGTCCAGGAGATGTAGTTTTATAGGGATAGACTGCAAAACGTCATTTGCCGATTTGGTTGAAATCGCATATGAAGATTTTGGGTTGGATCAACATCTTTATGAGCTTCAGTTCAGCTATATGTTGTCGTCTGAAGTCCGGCGGAAATTACCTCTGGATACACCTCCTGTGTTTGTTGGTAATTCAAGACAGCTGCAGAGTTTTTTGCATCAATTCCAGAACGAAAACGAAACGGTTCGTTTATGTGTTGAGATCAAAGAAAAAGTTCAGAAGGGAGTTGTTGATGAAGACGAAGATCGAGATGCATGTCCTAGTCTAGTCCCTGAAGAACAAGTGCGCCAAGATCGTCCGCAAGAAGGTGTCGAAGTTGGACAAGACGAAGAAATGCATGTTGAAGAAGAGGATTTGTCAACCAGATTTGATGGATGTGAAGATCCTGATGGTGCAAGTTCCGATGACGAAGAGTACGGAAGACGTGAGAAACGTCCAGATGGTGAAAGTTCAGATGAGGAGGAGTCGCTAAATCTACCACCGAAGAAAAGGGGACCGACTACAATTCCCGACTTTCAAAGTCTAGAGCTTTCATCTTAGACTTAGCCGTTGGCCAGCGTTATGAAACAAAAGAGGACTTCGAGATGCGACTCAAAATTCTTTCCATTGCTCACAAATTCGACTACAATGTCGATCATTCGAGTAAGAAATTGCTAACTGTTAAGTGTTGGGTAGATGGTTGCAAATGGAGGGTTCGCGCTTCAACTGTTGGGAGCAGCAAATGTTTTTGGGTTAAAACTTATACTCGAGAACACACGTGTTCTGTGACTGTGCGATCACAACGCACCCGCCATGCAACCCATGAGGTTCTAGGCCGTCTATATAAGGACTTCGTCGGCGGTGTTGGCCCAAAAGTCTTACCAAATCACGTCGCCGAAGCTCTGACCAAACGATATAGTATAAAGGTATGTGGTAGAGTTATATTATTCTTTGGTAGAGTTATTATCTCTTTGAGTAGACTTTTATTATTTTGGTAGAGTTACTCGCTCAATTGGTAGACTATTTATTTTTTGGTAGAGTTATTAGCTCAATTGGTAGACTTTTTTTAATTTTTGGTAGAGTTATTAGCTCATTTGGTAGACTTATATAATTTATTTGGTAGACTTATATACTTTATTTGGTAGAGTTATTATCTACCATGGTAGAGTTATAATTTTTGTTCTCATTATAAGGTTGACTATTTCGTAGACGTCACTATATTAAGTATGCTCGAGAACTAGTATCAGGGACGTCTGAAAGTGGTTATGAAGATCTGCCTTCATACTTATATATGATTCGGCGAGCAAATCCGGGTACACTAATCAAGCTAGAAGTTGATGAGGAAGATAGATTCAAATTTATGTTCCTCTCATTTGGCGCAAGCATACAGGGGTTTCCCTTCATGAGGAAAGTGGTAGTGGTCGACGGTACGTTTTTACATAGAAAATACAAAGGTACCCTACTACTCGCCACCACGCAAGATGGAAACTTCAACATTTTTCCCGTAGCCTTTGCTGTTGTTGATACTGAGAACGATGAGTCTTGGGAATGGTTTTTTACACAACTACACCGTGTTATTCCTGATGATGAAGGACTTGCCATTATTTCTGATAGGCATAAATCCATAGGAAATGCTATAGGGAAGGTTTATCCTCTTGCTAGTCGGGGTATTTGTACATATCATCTCCATAAGAACATTATGGTGAAATTCAGAGGTGCTGAAACATTCAAGCTTGTTAAGAAGGCTGCCACTGCTTATAGACTTCTCGAGTTCAATGCCCTTTTTGCTCAGATTCAAGAGGCAAATCCTGCACTGCATGCATACTTGGTGAAGGCAGATATTTGTATGTGGAGTCGTGTACACTTCCAAGGTGATAGGTACAATTTCACCACTAGCAACATAGCAGAGTCATTAAACAAGGTGCTGTCTGCTGCAAGAGGTAAGCCTATCGTACGACTAGTGGATGATATAAGGAGTCTCCTGACCAGGTGGTTTGCTAAAAGACGTGTGAATGCCAATAACATGGCTACCACTCTAACAACGAGCGTTGAAAAGTTGCTGGAGGTAGTCACTACTTTACCTTGTAGACTTTCTATTATTTGGTAGACTTGTATCTGCTATTAAGTAGACTTTCTATTATTTGGTAGACTTGTATCTGCTATTAGGTAGACTTTCTTTTATTTGGTAGACTTGGCACACTTATCTCTGCTATTTAGTAGACTTTCAATTATTTGGTAGAGTTATTACTTCTATGTGGTAGACTTATATAACTTCTGAATAATTCCTTGCCGACAGGCTAGAGTTGAAGATGCTAAACTCTTACCTGTGCAAGAGATTGATCAGCATCGTGCAGAGGTTTTAGGCACAACATCTGCACATGTTGTCAATTTAACGGAGAAAAAATGTACTTGTCGACGGTTTGATTTGGATAAAATTCCTTGCGTACATGCCATAGCCGCCGCCGATAGGAGGAAGTTGTCGCCGATCTCTCTTTGCCATCATTACTACCACACTAGTTCCTTGCAACAAGCGTATGCTGTTAGTGTGATGCCAAGAGACGTAGCACTCCCTGTGCCAGATGAAGTAGCAACCAAAATTTGTCTCCCGCCTGATGTTCGCAACCGACCCGGCAGGCCAAAGAAAATTCGGATTAAGGGTGCGTTCGAGGCCGCCATGGCGAGTAAACGTCCTCGGAAGATCCCCAAATGTGGTAACTGTGGCCAAGGCGGACATAATCGCCTAACTTGTCGAGCTTAGTTGACAAATCGAAAACCTTGTATTTGTACTATTATAGACTGCAATAATCCGCTTGAAAACCTTGTTTTATGTACTTGTAAATCTGGAACTTGTTTTACCTAAACTCTACTATTTTACAATAATAAATCTACCAATCATGCTATAAATCTACCAATACTGCAATAAATCTACCAATCATGTTATAAATCTACCATTCATGGAATAAATCTACCAGTCATGTTATAAATCTACCAATATTGCAGTAGATCGGCCAGTCATGTTATAAATGTGAGAAGATGATGAAATAAATCTACCAATCATGTTATAAATCTACAAAGCAGGTTCCTTTTACAGCCATGGCGATTCGCTTTAAATTCCAAAACACAAGCAACGTCTAAATTCCAAAAGACCACCAAAGAGGCTGGCTATGAGTAATAAATCGGCCAAAATACAACATCCGATACCAAAAGTCTACCAATTAGTTTGGATCTGAGTATTAAATCTACCAAAAAACGATCTCAGATCCCAAAGGTCTACCAAACGAAGATCTCAGTTAGCGGAGTCTGTCTGTAAACCGTACTTGTCATCAAATAAACTTCGAGGGTTAGGATCAGACATCCGGGATTCTTCTGCTTCATGTACCTCATCAAAAATCTCAGCTGCGTATTTCATACGAATGAGAGGCATGTTGCTATCTTTCAGCTGGTCCCATTTATGGCACAAAGCCAAACACTCGATGGTCTTCAAAGTAAAGACGCCACAATCACCTGATAACAAGTACCCGTTAATTAGTTAAAAGTCTACCAAATAAAAATACCAAATCTACAGAGCTGCATTGCACCTGTCTGTCTGTTTAGTGCCGCTGTTTTATACATGTAGATATGAAACTGCCCCTCCTTCATACCCTTCTTGAGCTCCGGTGGTGCCATATGTTTCAACAACAGCGGAATCATCCTCGCGTAGGGCTTCACAGACTCCTCCACCTCGCCTTTTCTGTATAAATCTGGAATGCAATCAAACACTCGGATCTTTTTTTTGGGAATGTTGACCTCAACGGCTACCCAATGTTCGTTGTTCACGTTGTGGGCGATATACACGAAATCAACATCTGTTCCCCATTTCTTGTGTGTAGGCAAGTAATGGTCGTAGTGACCGTTGGCAACGTCCAAATAACCATCACTGAATAGCCAACTCTTCTCGTTTGGTAGAAATTTGTTTCGATAGTCTCCACACCAAACTCGACAAAAGATAGGATCAAGGAAAGCAACTCTTCCCCCTTTGTAAGGAGATGGATACCGCATAGACCGTTGCCGGAATATGTCTAATCCTTTTACGATATGCTGCATTAGGTAATGAAACAAATTTATATAAGTCTACCAACCAGCTTTACAACCAAATTTATATAAGTCTACCAAACATAAAAGATACAAGTCTACCAAACATACTGACAAAATCTACCATTTGTTACTACATAATAGAATACAAGTCTACCAAACATAATGACTAAATCTACCATTTGTTACTACAAGTCTACCAAAGTAATTCTATCATTAAGTTTCCAAAGTCTACCAAACAATTTCCAATGTCTACCAAACCTTTTGATACTAAGATCGGGTGACTGATACGACCACACACCTGATCATGCAACCACCCATACTCCTTTCTAGGCCAGCTTTCTTTAGGGGTCATTAGTGTCAGGTAAAATTCTCCTCCTGCATATGGACACTCCAACTGTTTTTCCCTGAAAAATGACATAGACATACCAGACTCCGAAGTAAGTCTACCAACATACCTAATAAAGTCTACTATATAAAACAAATAGGTCTACCAAATCAAACAAGTAAGTCTACTATGGAAATTTAAAACTGACTTACGCTTCAAAAAGCTACGTAGCGGGTTAGATTATCCAGTATTCGACTGTCCACCGCTTCAAAAGGATCATACCTCCCAGGAGGGGGACCTGCTGGGTCCATGATGCGTCTCACCACTGAGTTACCAAGGTAGGGTGAAACCTGGGTCGGTGCAAGGCTGCGTCCCCTTTTTTCCTGCTCAGCAGGTGGATTTTTTGCATGTTCCACCAGCTTTTCTAAGCGTTTCTTCATAGCTTCAATCGCTGAGTCGTCTTCGTCTTGCAGGGAAGGGATTTGTACTCGTCTAGACTGTAGTGGGCGTGAAACGTGGCTTATATTGATTATCTGGCTTTCTTCGTTTTTGTCTTTTAAATCAGCTTTTGACTTTGTGCCTGATTTATTCTTCTCTTTAGGATCAGCAGGTTCTTTTTTCACTTTGGTTACAGTCTTTCCTCTCGACGCTGGGGTTCTAACAACTCTTGCAACAGGAAAACCTGGCTCTGATGTTTCCTGCATCTCCATCATCCACGACTGCTTGGCATGTATAGTAATTTCACATCAGTCAAACCAAATAATAACATAACTAAATCTACCTAAAAATCTACCGAATTAATTATAAATCTACCTAACATAAATATCACTGCCAAAAATCTACCACATAAAGTTAGTCTTGTATTCCAAGAAAACATTAAAAGTCTACTATGCAGGAAAAGTTTTAAAAAAATCATCAATACAAGTCTACCAAAGTAAAAAAGTATTTCGTACAAATCTACCATAAAGGAAAGGAAAACGATCTGTTTAAACATAGTTGAATGTTGTCTCCATGACATTAGAAGAGAGACTTGCGTACCGGATCCTTTTCCACAGCTCCCGTTCCCGTTCCTGCTCCACCTCCCGTTGACGTTCCTGCTACTGGCGCTGCTGCTGGAGGAGATGCCTTTGCTCTAGGGGTTTTCGGTGAGGTTTTGGATTCTGCATCACCGGCATTATCATCATTGTTACCATGGTCGTTGTCAACATTGTTCCCAGAATTCGCCATGGCCTCCTCTTTCTCCTCATGTTTATCCTCGATAACGGCAATCCTCTTATCCAGGTGGTCTATACGAATTACAGCACTGCTGACATTGTTGTTTAGCAATGCTACCGTCGTTGATAAACCATTGATTGCCATGAGGATCTCATTCGTCCTATCCTCCTTCTCCACAGCGGGCTCTTTCTTCTTGCTCTTGTTCTCTCTTTGCTTCTCTCTCTCCTGCTCCTCTCTTTCCTTCTCTCTTTCCTTCTCCTTTCTTTCTTTTCTTTCCTTTCTTTCCCTTTTCTCCTTTCTCTTTTCTTCAATTGCATCCTTTAGTAGCTTCACCGGCGAGTTAAAATCATCATCTTCTTCCTCATCCTCCTTCTTACGTTTCTTTTTCTCCTTCTCTTCTTTCCTTGCCTCTCTTTCCCTTCTCCTTTTGCTTCTCGGAGTATGTGCAGGCGC